GTACAAAGTGCAAATTTTAAACCTTATACTGGTTTGAAACAGTTTCTGCACAAAACATGACCAGCCTCATACAGAATATAATCATTTCTATCATGGAAGGGAAATTTGGGGAGGACAGATTATGTTTAAAGTACTGATATCCATTCAACCATATTACAATTCACTTGTCTATGAAGAGATGCTACACTGCTATTAATTATTCAAACAGTATGAAAGCTCAAAATTGCAAGCAAACTTAAGAATACTATATTTAATACATACAACAGACATCAACAATATCCCAGTGTATTATTCTGTATGACATTCTGTATATTGTCATAAACTCTAAAAATTACTAACACGATCCAGTTCTCTTAAAAAAAATTGTATATATTTACACCAATCCAAATCCTATTATCAACCTACTCAAAACAGGGATAAACAGGAAGCAACAAGCTGTTGCAATATTCCCAACAGAAGGCAACCAACCAACATCAAAGAACAACAATCACCATTGTAAGTTAACACACTATAACTGGCGTGGCATTAACAAAAACTTAGGCACTGTTACATATAGGCCACACTAACAAAAAACTAAAGAGATATGCAGAATCTGATAATTAAAATTTATATTAAAATGGTTAGGTACTTTTACTTAAGGCAGAGAGAGAGAGAGAGAATATTCTCCTACAAGCATAAAATCACAATGCTTATTTTCACAAGGATGTAACAATGATGATAGGATACACAAAATAAAGATTGATTCATTCAAAAAGACTCACTCCTGATAAATTATCAGTAATCGCAATTAAAATCATGCTGAATAGAAGACAGCAAATGCCTTATATACAAAAACTCAACCTGAATAAATGTGGCAATCTTTCACTAATGCATATTTACAAGCAAGTAACAAAACCTTATGGTTCCCATCCAACTGATAAATGACCAGTTTCAATCTCCCCTTCATCATAACAAATAAATTTCTCACAGCCCTACTTCTGAAATCAATACAGCTCGTTCTAAAATACCATTCACTCAACCAAAGGCCTGATGTACAAAAATATCCCTATGGAATGAAAATGCATTTACTGTACATCCCTTAGATGTATAGCTAGTGGCCAATCTATGTTTATAAGAGTTTCAGTTCAATAAGACTGTAAATAAAACTTTTACAGGGTTCCCAAGCTACAAACAAGCTCATACCAAAACAATCTTTTCAGCAGCTGCCAAAAAGACATTTCTGTGGTTACACAAAACAGTGCTGAAACTGTGGACTGTGATCTGAGTTATGACACTATAAGGTCTTGAAGCAAATTACTGATATTCCAGCAAAACTTTGATTACTCCAACTAACTCCCTAGTAGCAGAACCTGCAAGTCCAACACTGACAACACCAAAGCCCACCACCTGGCACAATCCTAGGCCAACTCATCCATTTTTCATCCTCACAGCCCACCTCCCTAAGATCCATCTTGATATCCTCCCATCTCCTTCTTGGTCTGCCTGATGACGGAGGCAGTATGACCTCTGAAACGTTGGTAAAATCGACCAGACTACACAGCGCAATAACCCAGAAGACAGAAATCTTCATACTCACTGCTGTGAAAACCTCAAATCTTACAATTTTTGAATTAAATAAAAACAAGCATTTCCCAAATGTATTCTACTCTTAATTTCATCAAGGACCTCATTTCTATTTGTTTCTATTGTTCCCCAAAACTTAAATTTTTAAGCATTTTCAAATGACGTGTTACTTTTAATTCTGTTCCGCCATTGTTGCTGATATTAATCTTGTATTATGGCCATATATTTAGTTATGTCTACTTTTACTTCTAGGCATATTTCCTTACTAACCTGTATGCTGAATGCAACAGATCTGATAAAACTTTGATAACCATCTAGAAAACTTCATAGTGTCACAACACTGATCACAGTTCATTTGCATCCTTGTGTAAACCTCAAATCTCATATAATGTTAA